AACAGTGTTACAGAACGCATATAAATGTAAACAAAATTTATACTTATTATTATAATATCTTTAAAATACCTGATAAATTAATGTGCATATGTCTTATGATCACTTTTGTCCGCCAAATGTTTCTTTTTCAAATTTTTTTATTGGATCATCGAAACCGCTAAACCTGCCCCCCACAAATTTAAAAAGTTATTTATTCTGTAAATTTTTCTGAATGATGTTGGATGCTTTTTTTCTTAAAAACTGAATTATCAATTTTGGCATTTTGGCCCGTATCTTTAAAACTGTTGGACCTGCCTTGACCAATAACTAATCAGCACGTCTCCTTATCAATAGGAATTGAATCATTTAAATCGGTTGATCCGTGTTCTCAAAATCGACTTGAATAATTAAAAAATATTAGATTTGTATTGATGGGGAGACGTGCTGATTAGCTTTTGGTACAGCTACGCAGCGCGATTGCTTGTTCATAATTTTCGAAAAATTTCAAAATACAAAAAATGTGTTCCAAAAGTCTTTTTTTCATTATTCAAAAAATTTGAATGCTCTTTAAAAATGTAATTTTTAGTACGGGTGTTCATAATTTTCGAAAAATTTCAAAATACAAAAAATGTGTTTCAAAAGTCTTTTTTTTTCATTATTCAAAAAATTTTAATACTCTTTAAAAATGTAATTTTTAGTACGGGATGGAGCGATTTACATGACGTCGTTGTTGATGCTTCGATAGTGGACTGTAATTTTTATTAATCGACGAAATGCGAAATCCCTACGATGATTGTGCTAGAGAATGAAACTTCTCTTAGATTCACATTAAATTTATTCTATATACTATTTTACAAAACACCTCCTTATACTTTGCCTGTTTATGTTAGACTAACTATTTATTTGATATTCAGGCCCGACGGAATACATTTTACAATCTTATTTTATAACCTAATTACATGAGCCCTGGGCAAGATCGTTCCCTATTTATGGGATTAACAAAATTTTCCTGATTGTTGTATGTAATAATATTTTACAATTTTACGGCGACGTTTACACCAGATGTTTTAGTTTAAAAAATCATCCACGGGATGTTTCAGTAATTTGTCTTAAGGCACAATGCCATGAGTCACTAGTTTAAATTTTTTTCGAAGTTATAAGCTTGGAAGTGCACAAATTCGTCATTTTAAGAGAGCTCGAGAACTGAAGAACATATTTTTTTTAAACTTTCAGCTTTGTTTACGGATCTTATTATTAGCCAAATGGCCAAGTTTAATAACTTATTAACCAATTTGATAATTTATTTGATAATTTTCGTTCGGAGAGGGAGGCAAGGCAAAATAATAAATTTTAGTTATCGGTTATTTCAACCCAAATTTTGCATTGTAATCGAACTATATTTTGTTAATTATATTTCTTGAAATGAAAAATCTTGTTAAAGAAAAGTTGATTATATTGTATAGATTTTTTTTTCTCACTATCCAAATTTTGCCGCCCCCCAAAATTTGCCGCCCTGGGCAGTAGCCCCGATTGCCCCTACTGTAAATCCAGCACTGTACATACATATGGAATAATATTTATTTAAATGGACCTGCACAGTGATTCCACACATAATTATGAGCTTTTAGCAACTTTTTTTAAAATTATTTTAAATATTCAATGAAAGATTTTGCGGTCGATACCTGTTCTATCGAAATTCAAATATCAGAAAATTTATGCTTTATGGAAAAGTTTTTATATGCGATTTGCAAACAGCTTTGCAAAGAAATTATTAGATGCTATAGATAATTTTTTTTTTCAATATTATAGTAGTTGGTATCATTAATCATTGCTACTTGTATAAATAATTCCAAGCGTACTGAGGTTGAATAATACTTTAGTTATGATAAAATTTATTGGTATAAATTAATATTAATGATTTCAAATTAATTTTTGAAATAAATTAATTTTTTGGTGGATTTCATTAATATAAATTAGTGTAAAAAGGTTGTGTGCTTATATTTATAACCATACACTTGGCCTATATGTTCAAAATAATGTCCTGATAAGTAATTATAAAATTTATATTTATAAGGATGAGTGTAAAATAGTTTATAAATCATTAAGATAAATAACAATTGTGTATATAGTTTTTCCTTTTATTAAATTTGAGATAAGCTTCTTCAATCTGTAAAAATAAATGGCATAAACTTAAAGTCACTGATTGTTTGTTATTTTGTTCAATATTTTTAACTTCCCGTAGGGCAAGTTATAGTAATCGCAAAAAAATCGAAAATGAAAATTTTTATATATCTTTACGTTTCAGAGGTTTCTGAACATTTTGGCATACCTTAGAAAAAATGGATGTATGTGTGTGTGTGTGTGTGTGTGTGTGTGTGTATGTATGTATGTATGTGCGTGTGTGTATGTATGTGCGGATACAAATTTTCGTCGACGATTTCGGGAACACGGATCAACCGATTTGAATAATTCAAAAAGCATTCGATTCGTATTGATAAGGAGACGTGCTGATTAGTTTTTGGCGAAGGCAGTAAAAAAAATGCCATTTGGCGGTCAAAAATGATCATTAGACATATGCACATCAAATTATCAGATATTTTATAAAGATTTTAACAATAAGTATATTTTTTTTTACATTTTTATGGGTTCCGTACCAATGCTTATCCGCTAGACATCGGCGCGGCAGTTGCGCGCTTTGACATTTTGTCTCTATGCAGATAAAGCAGTACGATTGCTTTGAAAAACAGTTCAGAATTTCCAAAGTATGTCAAAATGAAAAAAACATTTTTTTTTCAAAAAAATTTTGTTTTCAAAAAAAAATTTTTTTTTTTCAAAAAAGTAATTTTTTGTCAAATTTATAGTTTCTCTCTAATTTTTTTCGAAGTAAATTTTTTTCAAAAATGTTAATCGTTTTTAAAATAATAATTTTTGGTACGGGAAGTTCCAGCAATTTGCCATAAGGCACGATGCCTTAATTGCCTTAAGACAGAATTCCACTTACAGCTAGTTTTATATCTACTTATATTATTTACAAAATATGTGTTGGTCATCATCTTATTCCAATATTGACTAGGGTCGTTCCAGGTCGTTCACAATACGTTATAAAACCTTTAATATTAAAAAATTTAAATTTTTGAAATAATAAAAATCTTTCGATCAGGCCCGAGTTTATTATGTATTCTAAAAGCTGTATAAATTTCATTAAAATTTACATAAGCGGTTTTTGAGTTACAGTTGTCACCAGTTCAAAAAACATAGTTTTGAGAAAAACGCGTTTAAAGTTTCACATTGGATTTACGTACAGAAATACGAATTATTGAATTACTTAAACCGAGTCATCTATTTCTGGGCCATATAAAGGTGCGTCCGCGCCTAACGAACGAGCACGAACGAACATGAACGAACGCGAATAATTCTAAACAAACGCATCAAAACAGTGAGGGCTTGAATCTTTTTGTTCGAGGATGTACCGTGAAACGTCAGATTTATTATATAAAGTGGCCGGAAAGAGCAAAAATTAAAAGTCATCAAATTTACAAAATTTGTCAATAACAGCAATATCTTATAATAAACACAACATAAACTAATGCAGGACTGCACATTTGAACGTCAAAAAAGAAAAATGTTTGTCTACATTCGTGGTAGCGTTAACACTGCACATACGAGTTCAAACATGAACGAACAATTATTCCCTGTTGTACCCAATTCCCTTTGATGTACCAACAAGTTGCGGAACATTGCCCGCCATGTTTGTTTATGTTCGTTCGTGATCGTTGTGGCGTCACACTATGCTGTTGCCGTTCGTTCTGTTACGTTCATCTATGTTCGTTCGTGTTCGTTCGTTAGGTGTGGACGCACCTTAATGGTTCATCAGTCATTGTGGAAGTTTCCAAAATTTCTACCTACAAAGCATTCTGCCCTCCCAAGTGTTCTCGTTGGCGCGCTAATCTGCCACTTTTACACGTGCAGCATCCTATTTTTCAGTATAATTATACCCACAATTAGGTCCTAGG